ATCCTCATTTAAATTCAGAATTGTTTTTAAAAATTTAATTTTTTTTATAACTCTTAAAAAAAACGTAAAAATGAGCGCATATATCCCAATGAATGCACACATATTGTTTTAAAATTGTTTAATATTTAATTGTAATTAAAAAGCTAATACATCTGAGAAAAAACTATTTAATAATAATAATAATAATAATAATTTAAAATATTATTTCGTAATGAATTTTGTACAAATTTTTAAGCTAAAAATAGAATTATAATTTGATTTAAAATGCAAAAAATTTGCATATTTAATGAAACGTGAATTTATTTTAATTTTTTTATAAATATAGTACGAAATTTATCATTTAAAATACTAAAAAATTAATAAGTACTTTAATATATTCAAAAAAGTTATGTAAATCTATTAAGAAACGTACGAAGGATGATGAGGATCATCTCCATCCTCTCTCTCAACTCTCCAGCATCCCAACAGACATTTAGCGCCATCTTCTGTTGAAAAAGATAAACTTTCAGTAAATTATTTAAATATTTTGAATTTTTAAAAAAACTGCTTAAAAATTAAATTTTTAAAGAACTTAAATTGTTTTTTATTATATAAAATTTCCATTTAAATATATAATCAAATATATAATCAAAAAATCTTTAATAAAATTTAATGTTTTTAATGTTTATCATCCTCTTTTCCTAGTGATCATCATCATTAAAAGCGTTAGATATAGGCAAACTGCGCATTCTTTTTATAATTTTTATCGTGTTTAAATGATGTTTTTAATATAAAAAATGTATTTTCGTATAAAAGTTATATGTTTTGATATAAATAAATGATCCTTGAAACTGTTTTTTTGTTATAGAGTTCGACTCTTTTGTAAACATTACAGAAAAGTTATGGTATATTAAGTCATATTTTATGGAATTTCAAGTATTTTTACTGAATAATTTTCATTTAGAATAAAAATTATGGATTTTTAGATAATTTTTTAAATAGTTTTAATATATTTCTAAGCTTCTGTACAATCAGGAAATGTTAAACAGTTAAGAAAAACGAGCTATAACATAACTTATACACTTATTTAACTAATATTAAAGCTTTAAAACATAATAAACACCTTCTTTATCATATTTAGTTAGTTAATATGTAATAATTCTTTATATTATAATATTTATGTAAGTACGAAGGAGGATCTGAGGATCGTTATCCTTGAATTCTCATCCCGGCATCTCATCAGAAAACTCAATTTTTACTATAAAAAATGTAATATATATAATAATAAATAGATTAAAATTCATGTAAAACATCTATTTTTAGTTAATAATGTAAATAATTTATAAATCTTAATTTATTTTCTTAAATACACAGATGTATTTATGACATGATTATGTTTGTATTTACTGTAGAATCTCGAATTAAAAAAAAAAAAATCGAAGCTCTTGATGCAAAAGGGAGTCCCCAGATGTTTCAATTATTATTGTGTTAACCAAAAAGCATTAAAACCAAGTCATTAAACCATAGTGTATTCAGCTTATAAGCAGACAGACATGTTTTTCTTTGCTATTCCTCACAGAATATGTGTCTGAATCACAAATATATTTTCGATACAAGACAAATGAAGTGTATTAACAGAGTATAACTTTCTTCTCTATAATATCCTGTTTATATTTTTCCTTTAAAGATAAATTTATTCAGTAAGACGACTAAGAATACCATTTTTTACATAGTTTCTTCTCAATTACTAAAGATCTTTCTACAATATAACATTCTAATTTAGTTTTCCTTATACATTATATAAAAATATATAGAATTTATATTTATTTATCTATAATTCAAATTCTACAGGTGTATATAGACCTTCGACACGAATACAATATAAAATTTTACTTGCTTCAGCATTGTCTTACAGAATTAAATACGATCTTAATTATCCCTGTTGGCATTATTTTTGGCATGATTTATGAAAAATTGTCAATAGACATTGAATGTCTTTAAAATACTCCACTTTCGTGCAAAGAGTACATTTGTTTTTATAGATGTCGTCGAAAAAATCTATGTTTAAACGTAGATTTAAACATAAAAAGGTTTTATCAAAGTTCCGTCAAATTCTTTATGTTATTACAATATGAAATCCTGACAGATATGTTAGATATAAATCTACTCGTTAGTAAGCATACAATTCAATTCGATAATTCTAACAGTTTATCGGTTATAATAAGTACCCTCTAGATTTATTATTGTATTTTAGATAAACAATAGTGTCACCCGTGTTTTACCTGTGTTTAATCGTCAAAGTGTTTGTATATTTTATCCGCTAGATACATAAATACAGTACTCGTAAGCAATTTGGAGATGCATTATATTCAAATTATACTACTGTATTTTATAATGCATTTTCTTACTAGTTAACTGACAGGATACTTATTTATCTTCATTTTCATAAAATTATTGGCCCACCAGTGGCAAAGCAATTCCGTTCAGTGGCCGAACCCGAAATGGGCTTGCTAAAAAGCAAGCCCATTTCGGGTTCGGCCGGGTCCACAATGAAGCGGCCGGTAGCGAAGGATGGGATCCAACAGATCACCGTCTGAATAATTCCTGGCATTTTCTGATCCGTCCGAAATTCAAAACCGGGTCCTCTATAATAATAGTTGCCACTTTAGCCGCTCGGCCATTCGGTTGGCAACAGTTTTATTAACAAGTTTCATATATTTAGTGAAAATCTGAATAAACATTTATTAACAAAATATTGTTAATTAAAATAATAATAATTTTACATAATAAAATGCATACAATTTGTACTAATANTCCTCTTTTCCTAGTGATCATCATCATTAAAAGCGTTAGATATAGGCAAACTGCGCATTCTTTTTATAATTTTTATCGTGTTTAAATGATGTTTTTAATATAAAAAATGTATTTTCGTATAAAAGTTATATGTTTTGATATAAATAAATGATCCTTGAAACTGTTTTTTTGTTATAGAGTTCGACTCTTTTGTAAACATTACAGAAAAGTTATGGTATATTAAGTCATATTTTATGGAATTTCAAGTATTTTTACTGAATAATTTTCATTTAGAATAAAAATTATGGATTTTTAGATAATTTTTTAAATAGTTTTAATATATTTCTAAGCTTCTGTACAATCAGGAAATGTTAAACAGTTAAGAAAAACGAGCTATAACATAACTTATACACTTATTTAACTAATATTAAAGCTTTAAAACATAATAAACACCTTCTTTATCATATTTAGTTAGTTAATATGTAATAATTCTTTATATTATAATATTTATGTAAGTACGAAGGAGGATCTGAGGATCGTTATCCTTGAATTCTCATCCCGGCATCTCATCAGAAAACTCAATTTTTACTATAAAAAATGTAATATATATAATAATAAATAGATTAAAATTCATGTAAAACATCTATTTTTAGTTAATAATGTAAATAATTTATAAATCTTAATTTATTTTCTTAAATACACAGATGTATTTATGACATGATTATGTTTGTATTTACTGTAGAATCTCGAATTAAAAAAAAAAAAATCGAAGCTCTTGATGCAAAAGGGAGTCCCCAGATGTTTCAATTATTATTGTGTTAACCAAAAAGCATTAAAACCAAGTCATTAAACCATAGTGTATTCAGCTTATAAGCAGACAGACATGTTTTTCTTTGCTATTCCTCACAGAATATGTGTCTGAATCACAAATATATTTTCGATACAAGACAAATGAAGTGTATTAACAGAGTATAACTTTCTTCTCTATAATATCCTGTTTATGTTTTTCTTTAAAGATAAATTTATTCAGTAAGACGACTAAGAATACCATTTTTTTACATAGTTTCTTCTCAATTACTAAAGATCATTCTACAATATAACATTCTAATTTAGTTTTCCTTATACATTATATATGAATATATAGAATTTATATTTATTTATCTATAATTTAAATTCTACAGGTGTATATAGACCTTCGACACGAATACAATATAAAATTTTACTTGCTTCAGCATTGTCTTACAGAATTAAATACGATCTTAATTATCCCTGTTGGCATTATTTTTGGCATGATTTATGAAAAATTGTCAATAGACATTGAATGTCTTTAAAATACTCCACTTTCGTGCAAAGAGTACATTTGTTTTTATAGATGTCGTCGAAAAAATCTATGTTTAAACGTAGATTTAAACATAAAAAGGTTTTATCAAAGTTCCGTCAAATTCTTTATGTTATTACAGTATGAAGTCCTGACAGATATGTTTGATATAAGTCTACTCGTTAGTAAGCATACAATTCAATTTGATAATTCTAACAGTTTATCGGTTATAATAAGTACCCTCTAGATTTATTATTGTATTTTAGATAAACAATAGTGTCACCCGTGTTTTACCTGTGTTTAATCGTCAAAGTGTTTGTATATTTTATCCGCTAGATACATAAATACAGTACTCGTAAGCAATTTGGGGATGCATTATATTCAAATTATACTACTGTATTTTATAATGCATTTTCTTACTAGTTAACTAACAGGGTACTTATTTATCTTCATTTTCATAAAATTATTGGCCCACCAGTGGCAAAGCAATTCCGTTCAGTGGCCGAACCCGAAATGGGCTTGCTTTTTAGCAAGCCCATTTCGGGTTCGGCCGGGTCCACAATGAAGCGGCCGGTAGCGAAGGATGGAATCCAACAGATCACCGTCTGAATAATTCCTGGCATTTTCTGATCCGTCCGAAATTCAAAACCGGGTCCTCTATAATAATAGTTGCCACTTTAGCCGCTCGGCCATTCGGTTGGCAACAGTTTTATTAACAAGTTTCATATATTTAGTGAAAATCTGAATAAACATTTATTAACAAAATATTGTTAATTAAAATAATAATAATTTTACATAATAAAATGCATACAATTTGTACTAATATTTTAAGAAATTATTAAATTAGTTAATAAGATAAATTCCAATTTTAATAAAATTATTTATTTTTTACCAAACTTATCTGGCAACACTTTACCTTTACGACCTTGTAAAGGGAGACGAGATTTGGGAAAATGGCGAAGGCGGTTTCTAATCTTATGGCCAAAGCGCCCGTGATGCTGAAGGGTAATATCGTCTTATCCATATATATACATTTAATCCTTTGTTATTAAAAATGTAAAAGAAACATAAATGTCAATAGTTTCTCTTACATTTACTTATTAAGTTTATATACTTACCCTCCATAAGAATAACATTGGGATTAAGCTAAATTTATAACATTAAACACAATTACAGTTCATATTGACATTAATTATTAAATATGAGCACACTGATCTGTTACTGTGGATTTAAATAGATTCATGCTAATATATCAATGTATTTCACATGTTTACACTCTTATTGTTTTATTCTCTTGCATATAGAACTACTAGTTAATGCCAAAATGCATCTGGTGAAATCTGTAATGGGTGAAATAAGCTTAGAAATATAACCAGTCATTCAGGTATTATTATTTACTTTACTGTATAGGAACTGCTCTACTCAGCACCGGGGTGAAATCAACGTTGCACTATCTGGAACCTGTGACCGGCGCTCGGTGCGTATATACTGTATATCGTTATATACAACAGCGATATACAGTATATACGCCCCGAGCGCCGGTCACAGGTTCCAGATAGTGCAACGTTACTTTCCTGTCTCCTTCACTTGCATATTCTTTTAAAAACTAGTGAGATAGAAAATCATCTGTATTTGATTAATGTTTTGAGATCTCTTCTGATCTTAGTAAAAAGACAAAATAATGAATGGAATTAACGGTAACATAAAGGAAAAAATTTATTGATAAAATTAGAAAGTGGGAATAGAGAAGGATAATATCTAAAAATCTGAAGGGTTGGCTATAGAAGAGAGAAAAGTAGTAGTAATAGGGCAAATTCTGTATCTTATACAAAATATTTTTCATAAATTTGATTCTGGATCATTGCTTTTAGAAATGCTGATATAGTGTAAAGCGCAGAGACAAATCTTGTAATGATGCAGTCATATATCGCTTATCAGAAATTTCTGAGAGCTGCATTCTTTGTTAAAACAGTATTATATATATAAAGTTTATAAAAAGAAATTGTATAAGTAGACTGTATGGGAAGTAAGGGTCTAGAAGAGCCACTGTTTAGCTTCTGAATACATAGTGTGCTGCACATTTGTTAAAAGAATTTTTATATAAAAAATTATATCATTGTCAAAGATATATGTAAATGTAGAAATTACAAAAAAAAATCTTCTTAAAGGATAAGTAATTTTGATTATTTACTCAGTATTAATTAGTAAGTGTGTACTAAATGTATATTTTTATCAACTTACTGCAATTTTTGTTATTAAGTGAATCTAAATGATAATTTATTATATTCAATAACAATCATTTTAGAACTAGAAAAAATGTTAACATTTAAAATTTAATGCTCTTAAAATTATGAATTTTAAATTCTTAGGTGTGGTCGAGTCTTCTAAACCTCGATTTGCCGTCTTTATGAAATATGCCAGAGTAGAACTCGCTCCTCCTTCTCCAGCCGAAATTCCTCAAGTTATTCAGGGATTCAATAAGCTGATTGGTAATGTAAAATCTGGAGTGTGGAAAACTGCAACTGTTAAAGTAAGTATAAATTTTGAGTTTGCTAAATTTTATTTAATTTCTAATTTTACTTTTTGTTCTCTGATTAACCATTCTCTTCTTTAAAAAAACTATAGCTCAGTTTAAAGTAAACATATCTAAAAGCTAGATAATTTTTGGATTTGGGTAAACTAATTATTAATTAATATCCAGAATTTATTGTAAAAGTACATAGTTAAGCTGTCATTTTGTGCTAAGATTAATAGTTATAAATTTGGTACTTAACTCAATATCATTGCTGTTTTGATGTACAGTACATATACAGTAATATATTCAGAAGGCTACTGTAATTGTTCCGCACACCTTATAGAATGTTGGGTCAACACTGGATACAATTCTTTTAAACTTTAGACTATTTATTCTATGATGGTAAGTGAAATTAATGCTCACTTTGGATGTTTGAGACTTCTCTGCCACCTTTCTATTAGTGTACTGGCTGATAATTAGAATGATCTTGATGCATTCGTCTTACATCAATGTTGATTCCAGAACATTACAGTTCGTCTATGAGGTGCAATTTTAGGATATCCTGTATAATATATAAAACATACTTTTTTAAATTCATGCTATATTTATGTATGAGAAAATTAAAAACAGAGTGTTTGAGTTTTACATAACAAAGTAGAATTTTTTGATTATTTTCTTAAGTGATTTTAAGCAACAGAAGTAACTGCAAGTCTATAATTTTTAAATTAAATATCAAACATTTCAATGCTGCATGGACAGGACTATAGAATCAGTACAGAAAAATGTTTGACTCTTCTACTTCTAAATCCCTGACTTATAAAAATGTTTCATACTAATAATTGGTTATTTACTAAAATGGTAAATTGTACCTTAGTTTACATTTATCATGAAATTCTTTAAGTTTACTATTTAGACTTGTATTTACTCTAACCTCAATATTAAAATTATATACAGTGGTATTTTGTACAACTTGAAATTTGAATGTTTCGGTATTTGAATGCTGCTATATTCGAGAGAAATCGACCCAGAGTTCAAACAATGCTTTTTTGATAAACAGCAAATGCACATATTCTAAGGCAAAAATAACACAATTAAATGCTCTAAATCAGGGGTGTACAACCTTTTTGTTTCTCTGGGCCGCATTGGAAGAAGTCAGAGTTTTGGGCCACAAATTACGACCTTGTAAAGGGAGACGAGATTTGGGAAAATGGCGAAGGCGGTTTCTAATCTTATGGCCAAAGCGCCCGTGATGCTGAAGGGTAATATCGTCTNGCTTTATTTAGTAATCCTTCCGCATTCACACATCTCCAAATATTTGAAAATATTTTCTTTCCACTCAAAAATAAAATATGAATAAAGGTTTATGGCTTTGTGAAACTTTTTTTAGTTTATGCCGTTGAAATAAATTAATAAAAAAATTAAAACATTTGTCGGTTTTGTTTACACATTTATTGGGCCGCATTGGAACTTGCCTTGGGCCACATGCAGCCCGCGGGCCGCGGGTTGGACACCCCTGCTCTAAATAATAAATTAAAGCATTAAAACAGATAAAATAAGTAAATACTATGTATTTGAATACTGTTTCTCATTTATCGACACCAAGAAGAGGTTTTTCATCTTTTCAATAACATATGATCTGGAGGTGACTATTATCACACCGTTAGCCACATTTGTCACTTTTATTGCTTCCTTGCTCTTAAGAATGATGCACATCATCTTAAACATGATTACCAGATTCATCACCAATGTATTGTTTTTGTGCTTCATGATAAGTTGCTTTTTCATCTCAATCATTGAAACTATAATCTTCCTGTTAGGTTTTGTTGCTTCTATGCTCTTGGATGCCGTGGTTAATAGGTAGGGGTCATTTATATAACCAAATACACCAAAAATAAAACAATGAAAGCACTGAAAACACATGAATGTAATGCAAAAGATGCTTTCACAGCAAGAGAGAGATTGGGCACACAACAAATAATGTTTATGCATTTGCAGTTTTTCACTGCATGTACAATTTGAATGTAGAAACATCTTCATTAAAATTAAAAATTTTGGCCAATGGTATTTATATTAAAATATAAAATATATAAATATACTGAAACTACAAGTTGTCTTCATTTTCTGTCATTCACAACACCAGTGATAGTCCAAAACAATTTTCACTTACTGTCACTAGTGTTGTGAACAATGGAACATGAAGACAATTTGTAGCTTCAATATATTTTTATATTTTAATGTAGAAAGAAGTGTTGTTCAAATTCCAGGTCAAATTTCTATCATATTTAGCATTTGAACTTCAGAGTGTTTGATGTACAAGGTACTACTGTACTATTACGTATATTTTTCTGTAAGGTTGCTAGACTTTACTATTTATTGGAAAAGTTTGGAAAATTTATGAAATGATTCAAAAATAATTGAAAACTATCAAGCAATCTTTATAGCATTTAAAATATTTACATAAGTAAAAACAATCATTTTATAAAATTCTGTCAAGTGAGAAAATTTTTATATATTATCATAATCTATATAATGTTATATATACAACCTATACAAACTGTCTATGAGGTTCTGGGAGTCAGATCCCAGGCTCTGTAAATAAAAAAAAAATATGGCAGCCAATTAGGCAGTCTAAGTAGTTCTTTACTCATTTAATACTGTCTTTAAATGTTTCTTGTTAACTGAATAACATCATGTCAGATTTGATGTGCTGATGTTCATTTATTCTTTAGATATTGTATTGTTCTAGATTACTTGACATAAATCATACATTTGATGTGACTGTAAGAAGTAATCTAAAGGAGTAGGTATGGTGATTCGAGTTGCCATTTAATCGAACTCATCATCTAACTCAGTGTTCCGCAACCTTTTTCTACTTGCGGCACACCCATGACTCAACATGGCACACCAAAATGTTATTCCCTTCAAAAATGTATGATATGATACTATTAATAGAATTATGTAATGTTACTAACCTATTATTATTGTTATTAAACAGAATCAACACCTGTGAGCAAATTTATTTTACATATAATTTCTTAGAATACATAAAAATGCGTGGCTTGTAATAAAGAATAAACAAGCATCATCTTATTTTTATCAATGCTGCGGCAGAGAATGAAATACAAGCATAAGAAACACAACAACTGTGATAAAAATACATAAATAAAACTTGAAATTAACAGAATATGTAAAAGTTCACGTCACACCTTTCACCAGTGACGGCACACCGGTTGCGGAACACTGATCTAACTCACTTTGGAAATGACAAAAAAGTAATACAGTGGGTGATCGATTAATGAACAGTTCAGACAACAAACACTTTTGCGAAAGATTTTTATGTTCGAACAACAAACACATGTTCGAATAATGAACACTTCACAGAACAAACACATGAAGAAGCGCCGCTACATTTAAGATTTGTAAAACTATATTTTAATTGCATCTATACATTGTTTATGGAACGAGACTTTTACAGTTGTATACATAACCTTTATTGCATTAGTTAATTTCTGTTTTCTGAATTTTTGTAAATGCTTTTCTGAACTTTTTATTTAAAAGGCTAATAATAATATGGGACCTAAAAAGAGTGGTGTCAAGAATTGTGTTCACTATAGAAAGTAAGCAAGAGATAATAACCAAGGTACAGAGTATGGGCAGATGTCTGATATTGTAGGCAGATGACTTCAGCAGGTCTACAGTAGATACAATCTCAGCTAAGAAAGATATAATCGAAACGACTCAAGCAGATAAAGGAGTAACGAAATCACATCTGAGCAATAAAGATGTGCCATCCACGAAAAAATGGAGAGATTGCTTTTAGTTTGTTATTACATGTAAATAAAGATAGTAAGAAAGTATATAATTTTTTATTTATTTTTTGGGGTCTCCAGAACGAACTAATCAAATTTCCACAAAAATCTATGGTAAATTGATAATTGGTTAACGAACAATTTGGATAGCAAACACGGTCTTGGAACGAATAATGTTCATTAACCAATCATCCACTGTATCTATTTATTTTCTCAATTTGCTTATGCAGAAGCATTTTACAATTATAGAATATGAATTGAAATTTTTTAATAAGTGTTTCATTGAAAGAACACAATAGTTTAATTCAATATTTTTGAACATTATCAGATAAATTTTGTTTCCCTTCTTCCATTTGTAATTTTTCTTTAGGTTGATTAGTTATGAGTGGATGCAAATATCCAGTTGTAAATTTGGTAAATTAATTCGTTTTATAAATTATATTTTAATTTTTCATAATATGAACAGATGATAATTGATTTTCTTTTTTTTTTTCAGACAGCCTGGTTAAATACATTAGTAGGTATGGAAATCACATTTTGGTTTTTTCTGGGAGAATGCATCGGAAAGAGGAAGCTTATAGGTTACGACGTCTAAGAGTTATTCTTTGTTATTACTCGATGAAGATTTCCAAAATTCCCATAAATGTGGAATCGAAACAAATTGTAGAGTTATCTTTGCATTACATGCATATTGTCATTTATTAAATAGTTAAATGGAGATATTTAATAAAGAGTCAGAGATATGAAAATGAATGTATCTGGTTTTGATAATTAATAGGACATTATAATGCAATAAATTCTACAAAAACATGTTGACAGTTTTAAAATAATTTACAAATTATCTTTATTTTTATGTTAAATATTACATCAATATTACAAAATTTACAAATTAACGTAACTAGAAACATAAAATATAATTGAGATGATTTGTAATTTTAATGGGATAACTGCGGCAAGTAAAGAACATTACTAAGTAAAGTTTATTTTATTCCTCTTGAAATATTACATTTATCAAAATTAATTTTCAGCTGTTTAATGTTTGATGTGATGGTTAAGTGATCTGTTTCCTATGTTAATTACATACAAGATATATTGCACTCGCAATCAGATTCTATTGTGTAAATTTTTATTCAATTTAATTTACAATAATGTAATTGAAGATTTAGAAATTTTCATAATTTTATTAGCAAAATTATCGAAGAATTGAGTTTGTACACTTTAAATGATTCCTTTTCCAAGAAACAAATAATTTTCATTTAAAGAATAATATGCATGTTTGTTGTGAACAATCACATGGCTTATTCTCCACCTTTAATTTAGTTGAACTAAATAAAAGGTGGAGAATAAGCCATGTGATTGTTTTAAAAACACAATCTAGTGTTCAACAGTTCTAAAGAAAATGATGTGCACTTTAATGGATGTTTTGTTTAAAGATGTCATCCCATCCCCTGGAAATCGGGTTTAAGTCTGAGTCACAAATTGTAAATTTTCTTGGATGCTCTGTCCTGAAATGTAGACCACCCAAGGAGGATATTTTTCCATATTCATTGTGGGTATGGCCTACATTGGACATGGAAAAAAGATCCTGCAGTGGAAAGACTCAGAAAATATATATGTTAGTTCATTGCATCTTCATGTTTTTTTATATAAACAGTTCATACTTAGCTATTTATTTATGATTATTGTGGTTATTATCAACAATATGGAATAAAAAATTAAAACTCTGAGACAAACTTAATTATTAATGAACAAAGATTTCGAAATATTTTAAATCTGGTTTTCTTTTAGTTTAATTAAATTTATTAAACACTATAGTAGTAATTTTGTCTGATTTTTTAAAGATTGTAGTTTACTTATGGCTTAGTCAAAATGTATTAGTATTCAACTACTGTATAATACCCCTAATGAAACAGAAGATTACAGATGATCTGTGAAGATGAAACTACAACCGAGGCAAAAAGATATCAGTCTGCTGCCCAAACCCACAATGGAAAAAAGGCCTTAATGTCTGCTGAGAGTTTAAAAAAATAATAATAATTGTGAATTTCAAGATTGATGCATGAATAGAAACCCAAGAGTAGAGAAAATACATATAAAAAAATTTTGTGAAAGATGGACTTTTACAATTAGTTATGTAAATCACTGTTTTCCAAAACTATTGAACCTACTGTCCCTGTTTTGGTGTGTATACTACTAATAATCTTTGTTTTCAAAATGAACCTTTGTCCCCCTTCACTTCCAGCACCCCTTTGTGTATTGTACCATCCTCAAGGGGTGCAGTAGCACTCACTTTAGTAATTACCGATATATATGACCATATACTACTAGCTATCATCTACATTATTACTGTACATTCTAAAGCAAGGAAGCAGCAGTTTATATTAAATATTAATATCGTAAGTGTAGCATTACATAAGCTCACGTGTTGAAATACTACATCTAAAATTTAAATATATTAAAATCGTAAGAATAGCATTACGTAAGCCCTTGTGGTGTAACACTATATCTAAAATCATAAAACGATTTAGTAGTCCAGAGAATTAGGATCTGTGCATTGTGTAAACTGATTTAAACAAGTTTTACTTTTGAAAGAAAATTATTGTACGATATCCCACCGAGTTCATTTATGCACGAATCACATTTAAATAACTGTGCGCATTGTTTACTCGCAGCATTTTCTTGCACTATCCTCAAATTTTTACACATCTATAACATTTAAACATGGAAGAAGAGATTGAATTGTGTTTGAGATGTTATCTCCGACCGTTGCTATCCATGGCCTTAGTGTTCGGTGTGGATCCTTTCTTAGAATGCAATTGCCAGTGTTCGACTAGAAGCAATTCACTGGTCAAGTTGGTGAAAGCCTATTTCGAAATGGTAGAATATGTTTCTTATTTTTCTGTATTTCTATTGATTCTCTTCAACATTCCAGTAATAAACGAGTGTATTCCTTGCGCTAGAGCATTCAAAGTAATTGGAGACGACACAACAATTATCAAGCTAACAACTACTGGTAGCATGATAATGTATACGATAACGAACAGTTCGATGAAACGGAAAAAAATGAATACGACGATTAAATTAAGAAAGATATCTTTCTCGGATAAAGAAAAAAAGAATTATCTATTAAAATTACTATCCAAGTATCTTGTATCTGTCATTTGCTTTTCCTTTGTACTGACACTAATTCTAACTCTTACTCTGTTCTATTTTGCTTTCAAAAAATATTACTCACGTAACGAAGCATTATTTTGCAATACAGTAGAACCTCGAACACTCGGCCTAATGTGGACCGAAGGGTGGCCGAGTTTGTGAAAATGCCGGGTTATCGAGAATGGGGTTAAAAAAAATAAGTACGAGTGTTTCCTCAGAAAATACTGTATTGTACTTGTACGTATTGTTTACTTGAGAATATAACAGAGAATAAACTGCCNTTATTTTGCAATATTGCAACGGAAATTTCTTGCATGTATTTCTTTGCCGGACAAAACACTATTTGGGCTATTTTTACTATAGTTTTATCAATAGTAAAAACCGGATTTTTAAGTTTATCCAAAGAACTTTTATTAATTAACAAGAATAACAGAAATTTCTTTCATCAAATAGAATCTTTAATCCTTTGTCACGATCAATTGTGGATGTTTATAAATGAGGTAAACAAAATCCATGGCTCTGTTTTTCTGCTCGATTACTTTATTCTGATGTTGTTGACATGTTTATTCATTTACAATGTTTTATTCGTAAAAATGCACGAAATTGTGGCGTTACTAGCTTTTTCCGTTACATTGCTTTTCCTGGTAGCGTGTCTTATGGTCGCCTCTTTAGTATCTACATTTAATGCCGCAGTAAGTATTATTATAATTGCTTAAGTAATGGAAGTTTATTTTTCAATAAATTAACATTTATTTCAGATGCAAAATAGTTTTCAAGACATTTGGATATTCGCCGATTGTCGTTTGGATCTTGAACAGAGGCTAAAGGTCAGTATTTTTACAATTATCCTAGAACAATTATTGAATTTAAATCGTTAAATGTTCTTCTATGACAATAAAATACTGTATAGAAAGTTAAATTTATGTAAATGATTTGCTTAAACAGATTTTGAATTTTATGAAGAGATTTGGGAAAGTTCCTTTGGCGATTTCGGCGCAAGACTTCTTCATTGTAACGAAGAAATTTCCCATCAAGGTAAAATGTAAAATCTTAGAGATAAGTAATTCATTGTTATCATATTTTAATAATGTTTTATCGAAATGTGTAAAATTATGTATCAGGTGAACGTTAAGCTTAATTTCACACATTTCCAATGGAGGTATTCTAATAATAATACAACAGTTTTATGTAATTACTCTCCTCTCCCTTCGTTGCCATTGTGTTCAGCGTGAATTATGTAAGATCTCTTTACCCGCCTGATTTTTGTGCGTATGAAAACAAAGAAATAAAATAAAATGGAGAAGTTTTCGTCATATTAACTTGTAATGTTATTTTATTTTCATAATAAAATAAGTATTATTATTTATTTCAGTTCAATACGTTATGACTTATCTCACTAATGAATATGATTTTTATATTGTTAAAATCATATTCACTGATGTGATAATCTTAAAATTATGATGAAATTAGTTAGGTTACCACAAAAAATAAAAATAAAAAACTGAAATAAAATATAACGAATTAAAAAACACATTTATCTGTATTTTCCGATCTTGTTTCAAATATTGAACTATTAAAGAATTACGGTAGAGCGTCGTTTATCCGAAACGTCGGTTATCCGAAAGAATTCCAGTCGAGAAATTTAAATTTTCGCTAGTGCTGTGGCGCTGCAATCTTTGGCTATATCTTGGGCTACTCCAATATTTTTTATGTTTGTGTATGTGTTTTAGCTGGCAGCACTGTTACTTTTGTGTGGTGTTTTTCTGGGGACTGTGTGTCGTGCTGAATCGAACGTTTTTGATACTAGATCAACTTCTAAAGTATAAATTTTTTGTTTTTATATTTTTCAATATATTTATTTTGTTTGTAAAAAATAAAAAAAATAATTTTTAACGATACAATAGCCACGATTATTAATTTAAAAATTTTACATTAGGCTTAACATCGACGAAAATTCGACGCGAAGCGACACGCAACGGAGAAAAATTTCAACACGGGATAGGTTAATGTATTTTTCGTGCATAATCGGTTATCCGAAAAATAAATTATCCGAACAACCGCAGTTTCCAATTGATTCGGATAAACGACGCTCTACTGTATTTATTAAATTTGCAATATTTCATTTTCTGATGAAATTTATTCACCGAATGATTATTTTTCCATAGATTCTTCGTCTGTAATTTGTCTTTTCGGGAATGAATTTTACAATTTTTCTCATTTAAAGGAATTCGAAACATAAAATTAAATTGTTCAATATTTTATAAAGAAAAATTTACAGCTAAATGTATTTTGTTATTTATTATATTTAAAGAGTTATTAAAATATTTCTATTTGATTTGTTCGCAGATGGCAAATTCTCTGTATTCGATATATTCGAGTCTGTTGAATTTGAGAAGTGCTGAGCAAAAAACTGTAAATTGTTCAAAGAAATCTCTGCTGTGAAAAGAGGATTCGATTTGAAAGCGAACAGCGAAAACCAGACATTTTCTTTTTGATTTTCAATGAAGAAACCATCAATTACAACATTAATTTTAAAATTTCATTGTGAATTGTTGATTCTAAATGTAATTACTAATGTAATGTAAAGCGTAGTAAATAATATAATTTACAGCGAATATGTGAAAAAGACAAACTGTCTTTGTGTCTATCACTCTTTATTTTGATTTTGTATTTTTTATGAAATAAAAATATGAAATGTTGCAATAAACCGATATTTTGTTTACAAAAAACAAATAAAATAATAAACGTTTTTGTATTTTATAACAAAAATGCAAAAACTTGCGTGAATTTCGTGTCACTAAAAGAAATAATGTCGTAAGTTAAAAAATTTCCTAAAACCAATCAGAATACATACTGTACATACAATAAAATACGCTAGGTTTATATACATAAAGTACACAATTGCTTAGAGTTTAGTTAATATATACATTCATATATTATATATAATATTCATATATAATCAATATTCATATATTGATTATATATAAATATTAACTAAACTCTTAGCAACTTTAACAATCAGAACAATGATTGTGTGTGACTATCGTTAATTTACAGAATTAGCTTATACAAATTAGCGAATTGAATGTAAAGCAAACATTTCGTTCCCCGATAAAAATAAATTTATTTATTACTTAATACTTTTGAAAATGAAAAAGAAATAAAGTACATTAGCAGTACAGGGCCCGAAAAATAGATAATTGTCAGGTAAAAGCGAAGGAATAAAACTCGTAGTTCGGCTTCACTGCAAAAAAGTTACAGGAAAACTGTATTTAGCGTACGAGACGGTGTCAAATCACATCTTAACCACTCGCGAATGTTAACGATGTTAAATTCTTCTATAATAAATGTCTAGAAAAAATTCAACATGACAGATATACGTATAAAATATTTTTTTAGAATATTTTAGTATACTACAGTAAAAGAAATGAGGCTAGAGTTTCTTTTAATCTGCCTCGAATATCGATAGACACAACAACATTGCAATCTTTAACCACATTCTAAACATTAACATATTTTTATTTATGTCGTATATATAAATTAATGTTTACATATTATATTTCTATACTTTTATATTATTTAAAGTCTTTCTAATTAAAAATAAATTAATTTATTTTCTGTTCTCCGCGAATAATGCGTGTGTATGTATTATTTGTCGAATGTTTTGTAATGCAAACACACAGCAAATATTACAAATTGCAATCGTGGAAATTGCTACCCGAATCGAAAACATAAACAACATATTTGAATGCAGAAAACAAATTCTACAAATTCGAGGCATTATGACGTGACAGAGAAGTGATTTGTGCCTTGTATTACACAAAGGAGACAAATATGGACACGAATTCCATTCTGTATCTTTATTATGGAATGTAAACACGACTAGATCTATGTAAATTGCGTAAGTTTAATGAGACGTTCTTTTCTAATTATAATTACAGAAATATTTCAATCGAGTTAAGCTATTTATTATTTCGTATTTGTCAATTTGTAACAAACATAAAATTAGAACATTACTATAGTATATATAGTGTGTGAACCGAAGGGGTAGAGCGCCAAGTGTCTGCCCACTTATCGGCTTCTTTGTCAGGGCATGGCTTGGGTAATTGAGTGGGAGGGATAGCGAGGTCGTGACAAGGTGTCGGATGTACTCAAGGATGACACACAATTAAGGATAAGATACACATATTTAATTAACAACAAGCGATACAGATCAAGTACATTCAAATTCAATTAAAAAGGAAAAATGTAATAATAATAATAATAATTCCGCATCGCGACAAGAATAGACTGTCGTTGTTTCGTCTTAAAATTCTAGACCTCCGTAGGTCAGCTATCCTTTCCTTTAACTTTCTAAAATCTAATCTAAAACCGAGAGAGAGAGAGAAGTAAACATTTTTCTAAGTCGTTACCTCGTTAGCAGTGGCGATCAAGGACTGCGAAGTTCCCAAGTCGAAAGCAGGTGGTTCGAATCGGCCCGGTTCAGGATCTTCTCGGAGATCGCNAATTTCTGCCATTGCATTTCATAATATTTGTTGTGTATTTTTATTCTGCAATATTCGACAAATAATACATACGCATTTTTCGTGGAAAGAATATATTATTTTTAATTAGAAAAATTTTAAATAACGTAAAACTTAAAAATGTAACATGTAAACATGAATTTATGCGAAAAAAAATACGAAAACCAAATTAGCGTTTTTAACAGGAGATTGTATGGGATAATGATGAATCTGTGAGTGTTGAAGATAATAATTATGGCACAAACTTAATACATTGAAATATCGTATAAATAAAATTCATTATGAAAAATTTATCATCTTGCCTCAAAAATGATTTTCGTAATTCACGTGGACGTTGTTTTCGTTGACAGAAAGAATCGTTTAATTGGAAAAAATAATGCGAGAATAATGCTTTGTGTTTCAGTCGATGGGTTGTGACAATAAACTTGACACAATTCCCATCATTTCGCTATTTCTGCTCTTTGTATTAACTAAAAATTTTGTCAATAGACAATGTCAGTTTCGCGTCACTAAAAGAAATATTGTCACAATTGAAAAATTTCCGAAAAACAATCACAATATATACAGTACATAAGTACAATAAAGTATCGTAAGTTTCCATACTTAAAGTACATAATTGCTTAAATTTTAATTAAAACTCATTTACTGATTAACTTCAACAATACTAACAAAGATATCGTTTGTAAATATATTATTGTTATTTCTTTAAAGTGTACGAAATTATGCAATTTCGTAAAATTCTAATGCGTATATAACTTTTACGAAAATGGATATAAAAGGGCAACAACGTTAACCTCAGTAATATTCATAAACTCAGGAGAATATTTTCTATACTCCAATTTTTTATATTTTCTAGGACTTCTCGGAAAATGTAAGCTGTAGAACATCGACGCTCCTTCCCGATTTTATCCCTCCTAATAACGCCTAACCCATTTGCCCAATTTGCACCAAAGTTTTCAAGCGTATTCTCTACACCGTGCAGAAAATATAGTCTAGTATAATTATAAAATTTTCTTATACAAACACTGGCCGAAATCACGCACTCATTGAAGACTTTTATATTAATTATTATTACGTTTGAGTGTTAAATTTCTTTCAATCTTTGAAACATCATTCAAGACTCACACATACATCAATAATTTCATCAATCTACTGCAATGTTCCAAACAATAATCTGTTTTTCGGTTTTTTTTTTTTTATAAACAATTAATATTTAAACACTACATTTTCTAGTTTTATAGTATCTAAAATTTTTCTAATTAAAAATAATTTATTCTCTCCACAAGTAATGCGTGCGTATTATTTGTCGAATGTTGAACAATTGCACAACTCACAGCAAATGTTACGAATCGCCATCGTATAATTTGCTACCAACATCAATAACATAGGCAAGATACTTGAATGTGGAAAACAAATTCCACAAACTGAATGCATTGTGACAAGAGAAACAAATGATTTGTGCATTTATTTGTCAATATTTATAAATTTATAATAATAAATTCAAGTTTTGCATAACATATATAATTATATTTTGTGATATTCGATAAATTATTTATTCAAATTAATATTACGAAGATAAATTGTTTGACTTAAATAATTGGGCTGCAATTTGAAAAAATTGTAGACCTATAAATTTCCACTGAATCGTTACGTTTGTCTGTTCGTTTACTTTCCATAATCTATTGAACGGAGTTATACAGATGAAAGACGAGACCGGATAATAATACAATAAGTGCAGGAGACCTTAAATATATAAGAACTTCCAATGCAAACCGGAATCAGGTTATTTCAATTTAAAAATGTTCCCCCATGAAAGATGACCCACACGACTCTATTGCAAAAGAAAAGTATGATGTATGGAGGCGAGTCGCTACTAATATGAAGTAGAGAGGTCATATTTTAAACTATAACAATATTAAAAAAGTTAATCAGATTAATGTAGACAGTGAGGTTCAGATTAGGAAATTATGGAAATAGTTGAGAAAATGCAATCACTAAAATAATTGGTACAAGAAGAGATAAAAATCAATACAAACAATACAAATATGTAAAATCTCAACTTTTTGTATGGAACTCGCCCAAGCAAAATTCTAATTCTGATGAAGATAACAATGATAATAAATGTAAATCCAGTAAGGCAACGATCATCTGAGTAGCAGAACGACTTTGATATTCTTAAGGAGTCTCATTAGATAAGTGCTAAGAAATGATATTCCGAGTTAAACATGCAATACATTATTTCAAACACGAAGACGTTTTTTTCCTTCTTACCTTGATTTCTTTCTGTATATTGCTTATTAATGTACTAAAGTTTACATTTAGTTTACATTTTCTATTAAGAATACACACGAATTTTACAAAAATAAAACTTATATCCACTCTTCTTGAATTAGCTAATATGAACTAATCGGACGAGGACCAGGTTAGTACAGGCTTTTATCTTTAACATCATCTTGGGACATTCCACTCTTTTACAAAATAATTACAAGATTTTTCATGTATTTTACAATTACGAAACATAACGCAAAATTCAAATATTAAGAAACTTTGCCGTTATTTATGGTTGTGTGTATTTTGAGATTTAAGACATCCATTGTAATAACATAAATAAACAGTTGCAACACTAAAAGAGATCTCTTTTAGCAATTTAATTGTTTGTCTACAAACAGAATGCCATACCACGTTGTTCATTCTTTAGTGATTTGAATGGTAAGAAATTATTTTTAAAGCGGAAATTCCTTTCATTTCTTAAATCTAACATTCCATTGACGTTTTATTCTGCGAACATCAAAAATTATAAATATTTTCAAGATTTCTCATACTCATACGATTGTCAGAGATACATTCTTAAATGTATCTCTGAGCAGAATTGTTGACGATTTAGTAATCGAGACTCACACACTCGTACTATTAAGCGTTTAAAAGCACAACAATATATAAATCGGTCGTATCAAGTATCAACAGTTGATAAAAGTTTTTAAAAGTTTTAAATTTCATCGCTTAATAACTTTATTTTATTACTTATTTCGAGCTGAAATAAATATGGAAGAAGAGATTGAACTGTGTTTGAGATGTTATCTTCAACCGTTGCTATCCATGGCCTTAGTGTTCGGTGTGGATCCCTTCTTAGAATGCAATTGCCAATGTTCGACTATAAGCAATTCTCTGACCAAGTCCTTGAAAGCCTTCTACTTTAATTTGGTAGAATACATTTCATTTATTAATTTATTTCTATTCCTTCTTTTCAACATTCCGAGATTGGACGAATATGTTCTATGTTCTGAAGCATGGAAAATAATTGGAGAAGACACATCTATTCCTAAATTAGGGTTGACTCTTTACGTACTGATTTATACATTAGCAAATAGTGTCTTGATGAGAAAAAAGATGAATACAACAATTAAATTACGAAATATTACAGATTCGGTTAAAGAACAATTCAATAACCAGTTAAACTTAATTTCCAAGACTATCTTTCTTTATATTTGTTGTTTCCTCCCAGCGCTACAAATTACAATTACGCTTGTATTTTATCTGGCATTCAAAGCGGGATATGAATCATATAATGAAGCACTTTTCTGCAATGTACCATTGGGAATTTCTATGACGTATGCCATTGGAGTTCAACTCATTATTTGGGATGTTTTTCTTCTTATCGTTTTAGTACTTAAAACAGGATTTCTGAGTTTATCGAAAGAACTTTCATTAATTAATAAGAACAGCAGAAATTTATATTATCAAATAGAGTCTATAATCCTTTGTCACGACCAATTGTGGCTGTTTACTTATCACATAAACAACATCTACCACAGTATAATATCTGGCGGATATTTTATTATAATGCTGCTTACGTGTTTAAGCATTTATAGTTTACTATTTATAAAGATGCATGCCGCCGTAACAATAATATTTATCGGCGGCACCCCATTTTTCATATCAACATGCCTTCTACTCGCCATTTCATTTTCGACATTTACTGCCGCGGTGAGATTTTTCTCATTAATTATATAATTGTGCGCCTTGTAATTATCATAAAATGCATATTATCTTCTAATAAATGTAAATTTGTTGTTTCAGATGCAGAATGGCTTTCAAGACATTCGAAAATTCGCAGATTGTAATTTGGAGCTTGAGCAGAAGCTGAAAGTAAGTATTTATAATGTTCGTGTATGATTATAAAACCATTCATTTAAAAGTTTTAAATATTATTTAGTATTGTTCAGACAATGAAAATGACTAATATACAGTAATACCTCGACTTACGCTACCCCGAGTTACGCGAACCCGGAGTTACGCGATTTTCAAATCTCGTCGATTCGTCTTTTGTTTGAGCGCCACGCAACTCTTGATTACTCACTCCCCCCACACTATTGTTCAGCTTACATGTTCGGATGTGTCGCGCGGAATCGACACATAGCTACAGTTTATTTTGTGTTATTTATTTCTGTGTTTGTTATATCTACGGAGCCTTCAGAGACTCTATGTGGTGATTTCTTGTAACAATGAACGAATCAAAAGACGATATAAGATTAACGAGATTTATTAGCTTACATACACCCGACATGGATCTTACACACATTGAGAAATTATACCCCGACTTACGCGAATTCGACTTACGCGGTTATCGCTCGGTCCCACCTATCACGTAAGTTCGGGGTATTAATGTACTTGTTTTATACATTTCTTGGAATTGGCTATAATACATAAAATGCCACCGTACACGATAACTAACAGAAATAATATCTTAATGAATACAGTAGATACGATATGTGCGAAAGTTATGAAGGTATTATAGTTGAATAAACAATAAAGTTACATTCCTTATTAATTACGTTAAAAATATGACCCAATAACTTGAATATTGTATCTTGACAACTAATACTGCCAGTCCTCTGGCACTATTTAAATTGAAATTATTCTTTAAATCAGTTTGCATGTATGGTCAAGGATATTATTTTTTTGGCAAATTCAATCCGATAGATTTATACCTAACGGTTAGAGTTTTCTGGCGAGTTTCCTTATTATACAATAGTCATTTAGAAATTATTAAAATCCGTGAAAGAATTGACTTAGTGAACGTGAAGACGAAGATTCAAATCTTCGTCACGTTCAGTAATTCCGAAAAATTTCCTTAATTGATCATTTTTTATCTCGGATAACTTTTATGTTTCTATTAATTTTTGATTTATTTTATTACTTTTTAATTCAGAAATGACAACGATAGGCACAGATCTGCCCAATTATTTGGGAATCTGTCGATTCCATTTTCTTTCCGATTTCAAAAATAATTATTTACCTTTTACAAAAACGAATTCCCTGTATAATAAATAGCAGATTTATAATTATAATAATACACAAGAAAATACACGAATGAATTGTTGATTAGTGTATTTGCGTCTCGACTAGTAATTTGTTTATTTGAACAGAAATTATAATTATTGCCTTCATTCTTTTGAAACAATGTCATTAAATATCGATAAGCGATTTGTTTTATTGAATATTGTTTTGTCGATTCCACTTTCTTTCCGATTTAAAAAAGATTATCTGATTTTTATAAAAAAACAAATTCCCTGTATGTAAAATAGCAGATTTATACTTAAAATAATACACAAGAAAATACACGAATGAATTGTTCATTAGTGTATTTGCGTCTCGATTAGTAATTTGTTTATTTGAACAGAAATTATAATTACTGCCTTCATTCTTTTGAAACAATGTCATTAAATATCGATAAGCGGTTTGTTTTATTGAATATTGTTTTATTGAATTTATATTCATTTTATTGAATATAAATTTTCTTATTTCTTTTTATACAATTTTTGAAATTAAAAAGTACAGTACCATACATACAAAATACAGAATTGATCAAATCACCACTTAAAACGACTGTTTTTATAATTAAAACATGCGCCTTGTAATTATCATAAAATGCATATTATTGTTTAAATTGTTAAATTTATTTTTGACAATAAAACGTTATGTTAGATTAGACAATTAATGCAAATGATTTTCTTGAGCAGATTTTGAATTTCATGAAGAGATTCGGAAAAGCTTCTTTATCGATTTCGATAGAAGACTTCTTCAACATTACAAAGAAATTTCCCATCAAGGTAAAGTTTTTAAACGTTACAGATAAGTAATTTAACGCTCCGTGGTTGAGAGACATTAAAATATTTTTAACCGCGATGGCTCATTTTTCCGTTTTTCTCGTTCTCCTGAGATCAATTGGAAATATTACTGATCATCGGTAGTTGGTGGCTGGTCCTCGACCACTCAACAAAATAGTTATGTGAAATGTTCCGGGATAATTTTCATTTATATATAGGTCTAATTTCATATCCAATAGCCCTTTGCACATCTCTCGTGCGTTGAATCACCTTATCCCATAGAAATAATCGGTTCCGCACCCAATATAATAAAGCATCGCTTATCGTTTTTTTTGCCCTCCCTTATATAAAGTGTGTATTTCATTTGTCGATATCTGAAGTATTTTATAAGGAAATTATTTACTAATAATAGATTTTCCGACTATCATTTAATACGAAAACTTCGTCGATATTTAAATCTTTGGTGATAAATTAAAAATTTTTCTTATAAGTGAAAAATCCAGCAAAGAGCTTCGTAACTTTCCCCGCTATTAATATATTATATTTAGAATGTAATTTCTATACATAGGATGATTGAAAAGTAATTAACGTATACGGACGGTAGTAAAAACATGCCTCTTCGTGCACGAGTGCAGGCGCGAGCTGTTTTTACAATGCCTGATGACACCCGATGAACCACCCGAACACTGAGGTTGACAAGAGCCATTATAATATTCCTCTTCAGTTCATTTATTGTACAGTATATGTGATCTATTTTTATACACGGTTACTTTGAGATGGCCCCGAAGAAAACACTCGAGGGTGTGACTAATGTGGCCATCGTGAGGACCTACAATTCTTTAGAAATAAGACGGCGGCGAAAAAATTCTAGAAGAAAGTTCAGAATCCAAATATTTCCGATGAAACTCGTTTGCAATACGTGCATAACAGCGACTGTCAAAATAATGCCCAACAATGAAAATTTTTTGTTTCCGAAGGAAAGAACAATCTCATTTCCTTAGTGAACACAGCTGTACTGTAGCAAAGTTTTTGATTTTTACACAAAAAGTGTCAAAGTTTCTATTAATTAATAGTCAACATCACCACTTGTCCAAGACCAAGTTTTCTCTGTATGAAGAGATGTTACTGTGTGTGGGGGCCTCCTTAGAAGCTTAATTATTTCTATGCCTTTTGACGAAAATTTCTGATTTCGCAGAGAACTTTGTGTTTAGAAGGATTGATGCCATTATTTTTTTTTGCTGGTTAAGAATTGAGGACGTGAAGAAATAATAAGATAGTGTGTAGTATCTCGATGGAAGACGGACTTTATAAAGATTTTAATCGTTATTGGCATTTACAATATACAGTAATACCTCGACTTATGCTACCCCGACTTACGCGATTTTCAAATCTCGTCGATTCGTCTTTTGTTTGAGCGCCACGCAACTCTTGATTACTCACTCCCCCCACACTATTGTTCAGCTTACATGCTCGGACGTGTCGCGCGGAATCGACACATAGCTACAATTTATTTTGTGTTATTTATTTCTGTGTTTGTTATATCTACGGAGACTCGAGAGACTTTATGTGGTGATTTCTTGTAACCGTGAACGAATCAAAAGACGAGATAAGATTAACGAGAACATTTATTAGCTTACATACATCCGACTTGGATTTTACACAAATTGCGAAATTATATCCCGACTTACGCGGTTATCGCTCGGTCCCACCTATCGCGAAAGTTCGGGGTATTACTGGAAAACAAATTAGAAAACCCTGAAAATTAAGCCTTTTGCCATTTTATAATAATTTATCACGACAGATGCCGACATGTACATTTTTTGATGGAAAAGTTAGGCAACTCACTGCTTGATTTTTCTGTTAGCTTTAACTTCTTAACTTAGCGAAAACCTTTAACGAATTTTCCTGTTTATTATAAATCAAATTTTTTCAAAACAAGTCTACTGGTGATGACCAATTTTCATTTCAAATGTAATAATTGAAGAAGAAAAAAAAGAGCTTATTTTTTACATTTACAGTATTAAAAAAAGCGAAATTACCGTAGTACAATATTTGTATTTGTCTCTCTGCAGATGACCAATTCTCTCTACTCCATATTTTCCAGTCTGTGGAATTTGAGAAGCATCCAGCAACAAAACGAAAGATGCACAGAAATATCACTTTTTAATGTACTAACACACAATTCAGAAATGAAGTAAGAACTACAAACGACGAAATTATAAAAATTCTGTCGGAAGTTAAAAGGAAAACGAAACTTAATTGTACAAAAGAACTTGAACTGTATTAAAATAATAAAGTCATCTGTATTTTTCTACTTGTGTTTCGTTTTATTCATCGTGTTTTTTGCACTTGTAGACAGCAAAACATTTAATTTCTACAATCAATTGTAATAAAAATTATTAGATGAATTTCTTTACGGCTGATTTACAATGCTGTTAATTAACTTTATTGAAAAAGGCAACTAAAATAATTGCAAAATTTCATTAACACACAATATGATGAAATGTCGAACAGGAAATTCTTTATTAAATTTTGATAGAATTTGTTAGTGCGAACGAAATAACAATGGTAATAAATGGTAGTAATATTATAGCAATGGGACAATTTCCTACATAACGGTCTAATATAAAGTAAACATTAATAGTTTTCAGAACTTTCCCTTGCCTGGATGAAGGGTCAAGGCAGGGAAGAATACGAAAATTATTTGCTATTCTGTGGTAGTTTTGTCCTCGTACGTGGCAACTGCCAGTCCAGGTCGTTCGCATTGTAGATGACTTCTTCCAGTTTCCGGACTGATGCCGCATATGCTCCATGAGCGAAAAATGTAGAGACTAGGCGAGCATATTAGTAATTTTCATATTTAGGCGAGCTATAATAATTTGAAGTGGAAAGCATATATTAATATTTAAATTTTTAAGTAGACTATAATATCAAACTCATTACCTTTCTTCTTCAAAAAATAGAATTTTCCTTTCACATTCTCTAAATTCGTAAACTAAGCTCTTTTCTATATTATATTATATTATATAAGTTCTTCATAATATTAATATATTATGAATAAATTAACACGTGTAACGCTGTGTAAGTAATATAATAAAACTTTAGGATCACATTAAATGTAGACGGTGAGGTTTAGATTAGAAAATTATGAAAACAGTTTAGAAAATACAATCCGCCCAACCAAAATCCTAATTCTGATGAAGATAATGATGATGGTAAGTGTAAATCCAGTAAGGCAACGATCATCTGAGAAGCAGAACCACTTTAATATCCTTAAGGAGTCTCATTAGAAGACAGTATGATAAGTGCTAAGAAATGATATTGCGAGTTAACGTTTCCTATCAAGGTAAGTTTTTTAAACGTTAAAAATTAGTACATAATTCCAAACTACGTGGTTGGAACACATTAAAATATGAAATAACCGTTGTTGTTGATTTCCTCTCTTAGTGGCCTATCGAAAACACCATCGAACACCGATAGTTAATCGCCGGTCTGCGGACTACACGTAGTTTTCCAGATCTCTACGTTTTTAAATAGGGCCTCCGGGAGGCATTTCCCTTATCAGATCATTCACGTGTTTCATCGCCTTATCGAACCTATCCCCTCTTCAAACATAATCTTTCATTATAAAAAGTGTATTACGTTTGCTCTATATATGCATATAATAAGGGAATAAAATAGAAATAATTGACTTTCTTACATTATTACTATAAATCTATATCTATATCTATAAAAATGGACATGTATGTCCCTATATTTCACTTTTTCGCAAAAACTACACATCGCACGTGAATGGTGTTTGTATGTGGTAGTAGCCCCAAGTCTCTATTCGTGCATAGGGGTGGTTGCGTCTCGATAGCTATAAGGGTGCGGGAGATATGGGCTTGAAAGTGGTTGAAAGTGGCTTTCTATTTCGAACGTTTTGTTCGATTTGTTCGAATTTAATTCGAACATAAAATTCGAATATTGATTCGATTATAGAACGATTGTAAACGTTCCAGAAACGTTGAAAATAGTTCGTTTGACCGGACGTGAACAGAAGACGTTCAGAAATAGAATCGGGACCAGGTCTCTAATTAGTCTGGAAACGGAGGACCTAATTCTTGCGTTCTGTGAAAACGGGTAAGATTGGCTATAATGTAATTATCTTAATCTTCACTATCGTTACTTTTTAAAAACCCAGCGAAGCGGGTCCTTGCAGCTAGTATATATCTTTAAAAAAACAAATTTATTACCCATTGTTTAAATAAAGAATTTGCATTTCTAATCTGGATATTTATAACGTACTAGCTGTTACTCGCGGCTTTGCCCGCGCGGATTTTGCAAGCAAACCTCATTTATATCCAGTATTTTAACAACCATAGTAATTGTTATATAACACCTCCCGCTGAGAATGATGAGAATTGCCGAGAATCAAACGAACTATTTTCAATTTGATCAATTTTCTGAAACGTTTACAATCGTTCTATTTAATTGAACCAATGTGCAATAACAAATTCGAATTTAAAACGGTTCGAACATTTTTAAAATCGTAATAGATAAAAATATTTATTACAATGTCTGAAATGTTATTAATTTAATACACCTAGGTACTGGATGAAGACTAAATTCTTTTCCTCACCCCCGAGGGGGAATTTCGAAAAATCCCTTCTTAGTGTGCATTCTCATGGCATACCCTACTAAAAACGCAGATAAAAACAAAATATCGCATCTAAAATAGTACAGTAGAAGCCGTTGTTCCGATTAAGCATTAATCCTTCCCCTATCCCCCGCGGGGTAATTTCGAAAAATCCCTTTTTAGTGCGCGTTTCCATGACGTACCCCAACTGTCTACCAAATTTCACCTCTTTAGGTTCAGCGGTCTACTCTGGGCGATGATGAATCAGTGAATGAGTCATTCATTCAGTCAGTCAGTCAGGACAAGCAATTTTATATATTTAGATTTATGTGCCTAAAAGAAGCTAAAAATTATTTTGATCATGCCTAAATTTCCCCTTTCCTGTGTAACATTATCACAAGTTTTTATATATGCTTAAATATTTCTTATTTCTGTATTTATAGTCAGGAAGACGTGTAAAAAATTCACAAAAAATCTTCCATTTCTGGTCCCCGTCACACCTCCGAAATAAAATATCTTAAGGGAAGTTAATGTTATATTGTAGCTTCTTGTCCGCCTATTTTTATTATATATATATATATATTTATTTATTTTAAATTTCCTATTACATAATTATTTATGGAAAAATTCCATAAAGTTAGCTAAATTGATTAACTTAATATCNTTATTTATTTTAAATTTCTTATTACATAATTATTTATGGAAAAATTCCATAAAGTTATCTAAATTGATCAACTTAATATCTTAAAATTTATTACGTATCAATTGCATTATTCAATAATTCTATCGAATAATGTTATACATTTTTTTCTGTTGGTTTTTACTTTTTAACTAGGAAGTATCATCAGAGTTTCGTGTTTATGGAATTATCAAATTGGCATTCAACTGCGTGAGGAATATTTACTGTATGTGCATACTTTTTGTACATACAGTTAGAATGGTAGAGGCTATATAGCTTGTGTCATAATGTAAAAAAATAATTTATTAATATTTTATTACAATATTCGTTTTCCGTTAAAAATAACATTTATTAAAATCTATTTAGCCTTTTAAATTTGTAAGTTATTTCCAAATGGAAGAATGGAAAAACTTAATTTAAGGATGGTAAATAAATAAAGTACTTTAGTACTTTAGAATTATTGTGACAAAACATTTGTAATTTCGTTCTTTGCAGATGGCCAATTAATTCTCTGTACTCGATATTTCTCAATCTCCTAAATTTGAAAAGTATTTAACACAAAAGAGAAACTGTAAAGTGTTCAAAAAATGCCTAGGGGAAAGCATAAAAATATAACTGGTCAGGTATCTTTTAGGTCTAAAAGAATAAAAACAACCGACCTTCTTGAAGGTCTTGAAATTTGACTTGATCGAGTAAGAATGTCTTTGACAAGGGCTACATAAAAAGCATTACAACGTCAAGCTCGACTTGAAGCTTATCTCAATTCCTCAATCTCTACTTTCTCATTAAAAATTTTCCGTTATGCTTGACGGGAAAATTTCTAGTAATATAATAATCTTAATCTTTGCTGTCGTTATTTCTCTCACCTGTAACGCCAGGCTCATCTGCTAGTTTATTTATAAAAATGGACAATATCACTTGAAAAAAAAGCCTAATTTAGGGATTTGAAATTAAATAATCGTATTGAACATAAAAGAAAAAAATATTTGTTTATTCGAGGAAAAAAGAAATGTTTATGAGTGGAATTCATATTTATAGTAATGCATTCCTTTTGTAGAATTTATTTTCTACATTCAAGTATCTTGCCTATATTATTGATTTAAGCAGCAATTTCTGCCATTGCATTTCATAATATTTGTTGTGTATTTTTATTCTGCAATATTCGACAAATAATACATACGCATTTTTCGTGTAAACAATATATTGTTTTTAGTTAGAAAAATTTTAAATAACATAAAACTTAAAAATATAAAATGTAAACATGAATTTATCGGAAGAAAACACGAAAAACAAATTAGCCATTTTAACAGGAGATTGTATGGGATAATGATAAATATGTGAGTGTTGAAGATAATAATTATGGCACAAACTTAAAACATTTAAATATCGTATAAATAAAACTTATTATGAAAAATTTATCATCTTGGCTCAAAAATGATTTTCATAATTCACGTGGACGTTGTATTTGTTGACAGAAAGAATCGTTTAGTTGGAAAAAATAATGTGAGAATAATGCTTTGTGTTTCCATCCAGTCGATGGGTTGTGACAATAAACTTGACACAATTCCTATCATTTCGCTATTTCTGCTCTTTGTATTAACTAAAAATTTTGTCAATAGACAACGTCAATTTAGCGTCACTAAACGAAATATTGTCACAATTGAAAAATTTCCTAAAAACAATCACAATATATAGAGTATATACATACAATAAAGTACGGTAAGTTTCCATACTTACAGTACACAATTGCTTAAATTTAACTCAGGAAAATATTTTCTATACTCCAATTTTTCATATTTTCTAGGACTTCTCGGAAAATGTAAGCTGCAGAACCTCCTAATTTTATCCCTCCTAATAACGCCTAACCCATTTGCCCAATTTGCGTTAAAGTTTTCAAGAGTACTCTCTACCCCGTGTGGAAAATATAGGCTAGTATAATTATAAAATTTTCTTATAACATTTTTACATTTAAATTTAAAACAAAAATATTACAT